GGTTAGCCCGGTGATGGGTATTAAGGAGGGCACGTACTGCATGGAGCACTGGGTGTAATACGAAAACAATGGATCGTGGATCACCACATCAAAAACTAAGGATGTATTGTATGGTGACTAACATAACAATAAAATTAAAAAAAAAAAAAAAGAAAATTGAAGTTCTTAGACTTCCATGTGGGGTATTTTTCCATTCTTTCTGCAAACAAATTGCAATAAGAAATTGGTAATTTGGAGGGCTAGATCTGTAACATATTGTGATTGGATGTTTTTATAAGTAGCATTATATTTGTCGAGATTATACTACATATCAAAACAAGTTATTTTCATTTTCAGCTTTGATTGATGAGTTTTTGTTCTCCAGAGGGCTGATTAGAATAAGAAAGTGACTAAATACCATAATAAACATAATGTACCTCACGGTGACTTAGTCATTAAGAAAATTCTATTCCATCTTCAAGAGTATGTGAAAATAAAACTGAAAAACATGTACATTTAGTTGCCCTGAGTGATCTGGCACAGTTGGTATGTTTCCTTGATAGAAGAAGAGTTTAATTTTTCTTAGAAGCAAGCACTCTTTAAGAGTTTAAGGAAGCCATCATGAAACACTACCTTCCTCATTCAAACCATCCAACCAATTTTGATCACTTTATTTTCTTACTGTTTTTCTGCAAGGAATTAGCATAAAGCAGCAGTAAAATCAATACGTAAGCAAGAAGAAATTCTGTTGGTATTTTTACTAGGATTACATTAAATTTGTAAATTACTTCAGGGAGCACTGACATCTATAACATCATTATAAGACTGAGTGTTTCTATCCAAGAGCAGTTTTGATCCATGTTCTCAAGTCTTTATTTGGGTCCTGCGGAAGTGCTCTAAAATTTTCTTCATAGTGGTCTTGCACATTTCTTAAGTTTATTCCTAAGTGCTTCATCTTTTTATCCTATCTTAAATAGCCTGCTTTGTGTCCTGCATGCCTCTCTAGCTACTGCTGGTTCTAAAGTTGATGTGAAAAAGTAAACAGTAACAGTCAGAAATACTTTGAAAGAAGAGCTATGAAGAAAGATTAACCAAAACAGATATGAAAATATATAAAGCCCTGATAATGAAACAGTATGGTACTGGAACATGTACCATGAGATTTGAGATTGACCACAGAACAGAAAGTCAAGAAACACCCTAAAATCTGAGAAGGTATCATATAACAAAGGTAGTACCTCAAATCAATGGGTAAAAGATAGGCTATTTCATAGGAGATGAGTTTGGAAAAAATAAAGTCCAAATCATGTATCTCAGTATTATCAAGGTAAATTACAAGTGAATCAAATGTTAAAATGTGAAGATATTAAGTCATAATGTTACTAGAAGGAAAATGGGAGCATTTCATTTAACCTCGAGTTATAAAGAAAGTTTTTTTCAACTACACTTGGAAATCAGAACCCAAAAGACTGATAAATTTGACACCAGAAAATAAAATAAAAATTTTCATGGCATAAAATACTATATGCAAAGTTGAGAGACCAACAAAGCAATGGGAAAAAAGTAGTTGTAACTCCTACCAGAAATGACAGGCTAATTGCCCTGGTATATAAACAAGCTTCTAAAAATCAAGAAAAAGACCAAGAGAAAAATGTGCAAAGTCTATGAATTAACAATTTACAAACAAAATTACAAATGACCCTTATACAAATGAAAGGCTGCTCAAGTTCAGTCCTAACCAGAGAAATACAACCACAGAATACCCTGGACAGGGATGCCTGGGTGGCTCAGTCGGTTGAGCATCTCCCTTCAGCTCGGGTCATGCTCCCAGGGTCCCGGGATCCAATCCCACATCGGGCTCCCTGCTCCGCGGGAGGCCTGCTTCTCCCTCTCCCACTCCCCCTGCTTG